CAGCTTCTCTTTGAATCCAGGTTTTAAGAAAGGAAGTGTAGAATTCCAGAAAGTTCCCTGTAGAGACATCTGGACTCTGTTCAGTTTGTATGTGTTTGTTTGTAGGCAGCAGGACACGTGTACTCAGATTAGACCAGTAGCTAACAGTACCACATAAATATTTTTTGGTTTGCTTACGTGGAGATGTGTTTGTAGTACGTGTCTGCTAACATGCTAACAGCAGTTTGTGTGGACTTGGTGTCTGTTACCATGGAAACCACGTTTACTTTAATAATGCTCTGTTTTGTATACTAATGAAACTGTTGTTGATTTGTTCACTGCTAACTGCTAACAGCTTGCTGCCATTAGCATTTACTTCGCCACCCTTCTGCTAACATGCTAACATCAGCAGTGTCCTAGACTGTGACCAAATCAGTGCTTTGTTCAAATCAAAAACGACTGAAACGACAAACAGTCAACAAAGAAACAGTGACCTTGAACTCATTTAAGCAGTTTATTTAGAAAACAAAGATGTTTTTTTTTTCATGTGTCCTACCCACGTACCTGTGAAGTCCAGATGGAATGAACACGATGTGTTTGTTCTGCTGTTGATAGTGAAACTGTTTAAAGTGTTAAACTGCCTCTCACCTGGTTAGTGATGTGTTCCAGCGTCTGTCCTTTAGTACTGGTGCTGCGGCTCAGACTGTTTACACAACGGACAAAGTCTTCTGGGTAAAAACGGTCAGCACCACTGATTGGTTACTAAATCTGCGATGTAACATATTTGGACTGAGGTGTTGAACACAGTAAACTTCTTCTTCATGAAACACAACTAGGTTAAATGATGTTCAGCTGTTTAAGAACCAGAAGCTTTGGTCCATGTTCTGTCTGTGGTATTTGGCTCCGCCTCCTTACCTGTCCTCTTCAGTGGCTCTGGATTTGGTTCTTGTATGTTTCTGTCACTCACTTTCCAGCTCTTTCTTCTTCTTCTTCTCTTCTGTTTCCTGGCTTTGGATTTGGCTGCCTACCCCCCTTTCACCTCCTCACTCCTCCTCCTGCTCCTTCTCCTCCTCTGGACTGGGTTTCTCTTCTGGGACCAGGGACTATTCGAAAGGCTCAGAACCTTCTGAAACAGTACTCACAGCATGGGCTGGATGGGAAAAAGGGGGGTTCTAACCTCACCCCACTGGAAGGTAACGTCACCTCCTGGGTTTTTCTTACTTCTCTCTCACACACACACACACATGCACACACACTTGCATTCACATTTGGCTTTAGTGGGGGTGGTTTCCCCTCTTCTCCTTCGCCCTCTGGTGCTTGGTGGTGGTCAGTACAGCTGTACTGTAAAACTTAAGGTTTGTCCCTCAGGTCTAGTCAGAACCCCCCCGCGCCCCCCCCCTCCCGGGTGGTTCTGACTGGACCTGTTTGCCCCGCCCCCTCCTGCCTCCCACCTTCCATTAGGTTACGATTACGACCTGCGGGTCAAACACCTGTCTGACGCCCTGACAGAGAAGCACGGGGCAGCACCAGGTGAGTGAGGAGCAGAACTCCTGGGTGACCGAGTCCACACTGGTGACGGGTGTTAACGTTCACACACACATACACACACACTTCACAGACGACATCATCCCTGGTTTTTATTTGACCCTGAGAGGAAATTCTCAGCATCACTGACTCCTCGTCTCCTCCTCCTTCTCCACCTCTCAGGGAAGGACGACGTCCTGGACATCGAGATCGACTCCTACATCCACTGCATCAGTGCCTTTGTGAAGCTGGCTCAGAGTGAATACGCCCTGCTGACAGAAATCATCCCTGAACATCACCAGAAGAAAACCTTCGACTCTCTCATCCAGGTCAGACGTGTCCTCCACAGCACAGAACCTGTAGTTCTGTCAATATCATTTCATTTATTTTACAGTCAAACAATAGAACGCTGTTTTTTAAATTTATATCAATACTGAGAGTGAATCACAACTGGGGGCGCTGTGGGGCTCACTGCTACGAAATATAAGTTGGTGGACAGCTCCGGGTGCTGAAACTAGCGCTGTGTACTGGCAAGAATGTGTCGATACGATACGTATCACGATACAGTGATATATTGCGATAGATTGCGATACGCTAGGCTTGATGGTATAGTGAGTTTTCTTAACAATTTAGATGCAGTAAAATTGTTATCATAGTAAACACACGGTGCTGTTCCATCTTAACATCAGGTCACTAACACTGGAACAGGGGGATCTACATGAATATTTGTGACTGGTAATTGTTAAAAATTAACAATTAATTTTTTTAGTCCATATTAATTAATTAATTAATATGGACTCAGACTTGACCATAATGTCTGTCCACAGGAGGCGCTGGACAACCTGATGCTGGAGGGAGACAACATCGTGTCGGCGGCTCGTCGAGCCATCATGCGTCACGACTACTCTGCTGTTCTCACCATCTTTCCCATCCTGAGGCATCTGAAGCTGAACAAGTCTGAGTTTGACACCACCCTGCAGGTCCTGGTCCTGAACACCCGACAACAACAACAAGACAACTCAGGGTTTTTATATTAAATAAATACATTTTTGAAGTGTTTTTTCTTAACTGCAGGGGACAGCAGCGAGCACCAAGAACAAGCTGCCTACACTCATCACCTCCATGGAGACCATCGGAGCTAAAGCTCTGGAGGAGTTTGCAGACAGCATCAAGGTAAGAACCTCGGACCAATCGCTGATCAATAAACCCCTTCAACGATCCATCGTCTCTGTCTGTGACCTCAGAACAACCCGGATAAAGAATACAACATGCCTAAAGATGGAACGGTCCATGAGCTGACCAGCAACGTGAGCTACCATCTGCCAAGATCTCCTTCAACAGCTCCACCAGAAACAGCAGTCACTCTGACCTCTGCCTTTGTCTCCCCCTGCAGGCCATCCTGTTCCTGCAGCAGCTGCTGGACTTCCATGAGACGGCAGGAGCCATGTTGGCCTCCCAAGGTATTTGACTGATGATCATGGCTAGTTAGCCTTTAGCTCAAGATCAGACCCTGGTACTGGCCCACCGTTCAGTTGGTACTGTTTGGTTCCTGTACACAGGTGCAGCTTCATCGTCGTGTCACCATCACTTTGATGTTATTATTAAATTCCGGTTCAGCGGTGATGCTGATGCTAAGCTAATTCATAGTGAAGCTGATACAGCAAATACACACAAATACTGCAAAATGAAAAGTAATATGAGCAAATGTGACTGTAAGTACAAACAGATACTAGTCAAGTCACCAGTAAAGATCTTTTAATGTTGATTTTATTACTGATTAATTATGGAGGGGCTGTTGTTAGTGTTTGGTAAGGTTCCACTCACTTTTCTCCTGCTTCCTGTTGTTAACAGCATCTTTCCTGTACTTCCTGGTTGTTCAGGCTCCGCCCCCTCTGTCTTCTGGCTGCATGGCTGATGACTGTTGGCTTTTCTCTGCACTAACATCTTCTCTAACCTTTGTGCTTCTCTTTGCTTCTCTGTTTCTCCTCCTTCTTCTTCTTCTTCTGCCTCGGCCCACCTTAGTTCTGGGCGACACTTACAATATTCCTTTAGACCCTCGAGGTAAGAACCAGGCCCCCGACCTCATCAAATGTAGCTGTTTATATTTATGAGCCGAATGAGTTCTGATGTCTGTGTTGACACCCTTCAACCCTCAGAGGAACATGGTTCTTAGTGTTAGCCTGCATGCTAACATGTTTGTGTTTGTGTTTCAGAGAGCAGCTCAGCGTCCAGCTACACCTCTGACTTCAACAAAAGACTCCTCAGCTCCTACATATGTAGGACTTTCCTGTTCTCCTCAGATTCATCAGTACACTGGTGTTGTTGGTAACAGCTGTCACTCATGTTGTTGTTGTTGTTGTTGTTGTTGTTGTTGTTGTTGTTGTTGTTGTTGTTGTTGTTGTTGTTGTTGTTGTTGTTGTTGTTGTTGTTGTTGTTGTTGTTGTTGTTGTTGTTGTTGTTGTTGTTGTTGTTGTTG